GCAAGTTCAACACCGTCCTCTTCATGTAGGGCTTTGCCGAGAATTGGTCTGGTGCCTCATAACAGTTCAGGTTACCTAGCACAAACTAGATAGAGGGCCAAACCACGACGACAATAGTTAGGTTTGATTACGACCAGAGCTCCGACCGCCTGGGCCGCAAGGTCCGGAGCTGGAGCCGTAAATTTACCCACCAAATCGCATACAGTGTGCAGTCCACAATTTCGATACATAAAGCTGTCTGTGTAAGAAGAATTGCGTAACCACCCTTCATAACTTAGTTATGATGTGTGTCTAATTCTGCATTAGTAACTCCGTTTTGCGGGTTTGTTTGCCGCTTGTGGGCTGATTGGCTAGGCGTAGCCTACACTGCCCCATCTCTGCGACTTATGCCAATCAGGCGAATGAACTGCCGATAAGAGGCAGTTACTCTCGAACATATTCGTAGATATACCGGAAAGTCCAGCCCTGGGCGAACGTAAAATTATCAATGAGTCAACCTAAAATCAGACCTCTCGTTTAATAGGACTTTTATTTAAAATTTATATGATCAAACTGAATCAGTTGCAAATAACTCTTAAGTCTTTATTCTCATATTTCCTAGTGTTTTTGAGAGATTTTCCTCCGGTGTTAAAGTCTAGGACCATGCATTTTAATACTGTCAGTTTTAACTAGAACCGAGGTATCCAGTCAGTTTTTTCTCCCTCTTTATATCCCCTCTCATGCGCGATTCTATTGTCCGTGTCAGCCAGACTAAATAATATTAGGCACTGTCGTGAATTGATCGTGGTGCCGCGTTCTAACGCTAGCCACACCTGCTGTTCCGTCACTCGACGTGACCAATTTTAATTAGACCACAAAGGAAAGATGCGCAAATTTTCGTATACAACGTTTCGCCTATCACGACGGTAGGGGATTATATAAAGTAATTGTCAATTGTATCATTTTTACTGTTTTGCCAATATTTTTTTGTAATTAATTCAGCGCATGTATAGACGTGTAGAGCGGCAGTGTACAAAGATCACATGGGTTGTGTCAGTCCACTGAAAGTTTCTGCATATGTGCCTATGAATGAATGACTCTGTGCGATGTGTAAATGTCTGGGGACAGTGCAGACAGACAAAGTGGAGGTGCAAAACGCTGGTCGATCTGAAGATTTCGGTTCTTTCGCCAATCTGCGATGTGTTAGTAGATGATGGACCAGGCGGGTACGTGGTTGGAATGCACGATCACAATTGGGGGCTAGTCTGCTTTGTGTTTATATCGTTGATTATTGACGCATTTGTGCATTTTCAGTTTTCTCGTTTCACGTCCATTTAAGGCTCGTCAATGGATCCTCCAGTGTTCTCGGTCTGTTTTTTGTATATCCAGTCCAGTTCCCATCCTGCCTGGTTTGATTTCCGATGAAATTAACGATTGAACTTATAGTTACTCTTCCGGAGCAAACCTTTTTCAGTTCTATCCGAAATTTGGGATCTGCCTTTCTGGATTTCGGGATTATGGACGTTTCTGCCAACATCTTTTACTCCTTAGACATATCGTATTTTAATATCGGGAGCGGTAATCCATGCGTCTTTTCCTATTATATCTTAAAAATACCACACCACTATAAGGCTTTGCCTTAAACGAAACTATATTAACATCCTTTCATACTGACTGACTAGTGGAAAATATATGTACTCATATTGTGTAATATCTTTAGACATTCGTATACTGGACGTATACAAGACGTCTCGAATTTCACTCTTCAATCGTAGAAGTGGATAAACTGCCACAAGAATACGGCGACACTGAATTGGAAATTTAAAAATTATGACAAGAGAGGTAACTTCGACGTTTTTATTTATAATTTACCAGGCACCATCTATTTCGGACTTCATATTAATAAAGCCGATAAGCCGGGGAGCATTCGGGTAAGTCCTACAACATAACTATTCCCGTAGAAAAGTATTCTTGGGTGCTAAGAAGAAGGATCGCAGTACGCTGTATGCAATCAAAATTATGTCAAAGGAGGAAATGAAAAAGAAGAATTTAGCTAATCAAGGTTTTTTTCATAAGCCCCCTATAAGTTCCTTTTAGTGACCACTGAGAGAAACGCACTTGCAGTCAGCAAATGTCCTTACATTGTCCACCTGTTCTATTCACTACAGTCAGAAAGTTACATTTACTTGGTATTGTTTGTTTTCGTTATCGTCACTTCAGATAATGGAATACCTGATAGGCGGTGACTTGAAGACTCTCCTTATGGCCGCAGGGTACTTGGACGAGCAACATGCTGCCCTATATACTGCGGAGATCACGATGGCCTTAGAATACCTGCACCAGCACGGAATTATCCACCGGGACCTGAAACCTGACAACATCTTGATAACATCTAAAGGCCATTTGAAACTTACAGACTTCGGTTTGTCCACGCTAAGCTGGTCAAGAGGTCGGTTTTTGCTTATTTTCGTTTGAGAACTTTAAAAGCATGTCGTACTCTAATCATGCTCCAGAAAGCTTCTGCGCTTAAGTCTTAAAGCTTCTTTTAAAGGCACAAAGTTAAGTGACAGATGGTACACTTTGCACCCGAGTTACCGAAAACGTCGACGTTTTGGTCGTAGATTTTGAAAATAGCCCCCAACCCAAATTGATTGCTTTTCTCCCCCTAACTGCACCAGGGGCACAGTTCAGATATCTTACGTTTCCAATTGAAATTGATGCGGAAACTGCCGTTAGAAGGTCCATTAAAGCGCGCTTTGGCGGTTTTATCCCGCAAATGTCAACTTACCAAAAAGATATGTAGATCATAATGTAAAGTGTCAACTTTATTGCGTCATCTCGAGTGCGCAATATTTGTACACATTCCAAGTTGGCTAGTTTTTGGCAACTTCTCTGTCTGCGTGGGTTGATCGCAAGTATTACGAACCCTGCCGTTCACTTTTGAGCAGCCGCCGCCTTCGTGCCTAAGGGGAAGTTGAAAAAAGCTAACCAAACCTTTCATACCCTCACTCAAACCTTTTCCCACTCACCAAAAGAATCGCGTTACTAATTGCGCCTGAATAGCAAATAACTGAGGGCTGAACAAATTTGCGGAAAATTCTTACAATGCCGTGACTGCACGACGCATTCGATGACCCGCCAGCACTTCTGCTGCTTGGTGGTACACTTCTGTCATTAAGTAGTTATATGCTATACAGCCTTCGCCCTTTTTAGCGGTTTTAAGTGCGCAGGAATGTCAACTTAAACCTTCTTTCACGTCTATGGGAAATAGTAACTGTCTTACGAATGAACAACTCTCATATCAGTTTCCTTCCTTAATAAGTTAGCAGTTCATCTAACTTTGGTTTGTTTGACGATGATTGCAACTGGCTATCCATTTTAAATTCATTCAAGCCGCGAGCAAACAGATAGCCCAAACCACTAAACCCTTTCTGACAAAAAAAGTAGAGAGCAGTGGCGTGATCGCACCGGATTTTGGCGCACCGATGTCTCCGGCACAATTTCCACCAGAGGTGCCTCAGATTCCTAATTTGTGTTTCGCTGTTGCATCTAGCCCTGCGTGCCTCGGACATCCTGTTTACGCCATCTGTGAACAATCGTCAGTCCAATTTCTTCAGAACTCCGGGCCAAATTATTTCTCTCACTACGCAACTTTCCTTTGTAAGTCGGATTGTCTCGGCTTATTTAACGATGCAAATTCTGTCTATGCATACCTTACTTGATAGATCACTTGTAAGTGCCCACGGGACTTATGTTGCATTTCCCCCGTCCATCTGTATATCTATACCTAGTGAGAGTAGGGTATACAACCCCACTAGGTTGCCGTTGAAGAACAACCTACCTATTTTGTTTACCCCGGTGTGATTCACAACAGAAGAAGAGGATGCGATCACTGGAACAAGTGTTTTATTTGCCTGACGTTTCGGATTCCGTCGGAAATCATAGGTGATGATAACACAGTCATGGTCATGCGCAGATATCTGCGCATGATTCACTACAGTTGACTTCACAATAGGTCATAGAAGGAATTGTGAACTAAGGCCTAGGGTTTAGGCTTGGGAGTACAATTTTAGGGTTAAATTTAGAGTCTTCTGGTTTCAAGGCTAAGCTTTAGGGTTTCAGGTTTGACTTTATATCTTCAATTTTAGGGTTTTACTTTCAAGGTTAGAGGTCAGGTTAAGGGGATAGGAATTAATGTTCGGGTTTTAAGTTCAAGGTTAGGAATTGGAATTAGAGTTGGATTTTTGGTGTAGAATTGGTGTTTTATTTCGAGTTTTAGAGTTATGCTTACAGTTGGGGGTTAGGATTGCGGTCGGATGTTGCGGTTAGGGTTATTCATCTACAGTTTCATACTCTACCCTTGTCGTTTACTACAAAAATGACAAAGCATTCATTCTCAGCAACCTTAAAACCCTTTCGAGTACAGTTGCCACTGCAGTATTCATTTTTGCCAGTGGGAAAGCTCTGTTATAATGGTCTTAAATAGCGCACAATCGCGCATTGTCAACGTTAAATGGCGTCTAAGTATGTTCATCCTGGTTAATGCGCTTTTGAATTTCAGAGGGAAACTCCAACGGACTCCAGCGAAAAGGGCCCAGATGCTTCGTTTCCCGAACCTAACGCGCAGTGCACAGACCATTCAGAAATTACGGTATGGCCGCCTCTTCCCTATTACAAAACTTCTAATCTCATCTTATGACCACTGCTTATCGTACTTAAGTGATTTCTCTTACTTTCCATGTTTAGCTTGATGTTGCAATACTTTTATTTTAGATTTTTCGAATGTCAGTCATCGTCACCACCGCTGTGTTAGTCCCCATCGGCATATCCTAGAAGGAATTCACTTGAGTCTACATCATATCGTTAGCCCTTAGTCACACGAATCAAATTCATGTTGAAATTGATGTCTGGGTCATTTAACCGGATACTATTGACAGCCTACTTGCTTGTCTTGTTGGATCTTCATAGTTATTGTGGCGACCCGGGTGTTACTGATCTAAACAATCTAGAGGGTGTCTCCCGGTGAGGTCAGTTGGCCCCCTTGTAAAATTTACCCAAAAACTCTAATCAAATACTATCAAGTAGTCTGAAGGTTTTTTTCTATATGGCTTTTTATACGACCGCGTCTTCCTTTAACAGGGAAAACCCCCCCCTTTTGTTTTTATCGTGCCTACAGTCTCCCGAACCACACAGCGTTAGTCTTCCAGATCCTCGTCTATCGTCTCCCTCCTCCCCCTCCCTTCGTGTCTCCTCTAAGAGTTCGCGTGCATCTATGCCCAATCTCGTATACCTTCCTCCCTTCTCCGTTAGTAAGCATCGAAGCAACGGTCAGTCCTCTAATTCAGCCACCAGGAAGAACGTGACTGTGGTATGTCAGCATTTTTTTTCACGGACAATGTACTACCTCAATCGTGTCTTATTGTATCATATGATTTTTTTGGATTTTAACTAGAAATTTGCTCTTCCTGAAAACTCCCCCGCTAATGCACAAACTGACGACCTGTGTGATAGTCCAACCGGCAATCGT